GTGTTGATGACATAAAGAGATGGGGGAGGGGGAGTGAGAAGGGAAGGTAAAGGACTGGGGGAGAGAGGAGATGGGAAAGAAGAATTAGGTGTGTTATATATATGTACCAATTCTCTCTGTTATGAATGTAATCACTTTGTGCTGTTAAAGTGTACCAATACAAACAAAAAGAAATGTTTTTCAAGGATGTTCATATAAAATCCTGGGATCAAAACTTTAGGTTCAGTACACACAAATTTCTTATTAAATTACTGTGAGAATTTTGACATTTAAGGATACAATAGTGTGTTAGCTAGACTTCTTAGGTGGCAAGCAACAGTAAAAACTCTGGCTAATCTTAGTTACTTTTCTCTCTCTGAGACAAAATATCCAGCACCCAAGGTTAAAGGAGGAAAACTTTACTTTGGCTCATAGTTTGTAGAGGTTTCAGTCCATAATCAGCTAGCTTCAAGGCAGGGTGGCACATGGCAGAGGGGCAACCACTAGTTGTGGTGGAAAATATCAAAAGCAACAAGAGAGGAGTGAAGTATCAAACATCTTCCCACCCCTTATACTGAATGCAGGGTGCTTGCCTTATGGTGGCATAACCTCCAATCCCAGCACTATACTATAAACCAATCACAAACTCTAGATTCAGCCACCTCCAAAAAGCCACCCCCCATGACTGCATCAGGGTTTTGGGGGACACAAACCATAACACATAGAAAAGAATTTATTGTCATAGATTGCCCAGTTCAAAATCAAGAAAGATCTTTGAAAATAAAAGGTACTTGGGTAGTACTGGGATTCTTTATCACCAGCAACTAAATTCAATCTCTTTGAAACATAAATGGACTAAATAACATATCACCTTTTAATTCTCCCACATTACTTTTTTGTTTTGGTACAGGGAATCAAACTCAGGACCTTGTGCTTGCTAGGAAGGCGTTTGTGTCACTGAGCTATATCTCTGACCCACCTTACGTTACTTTTTATGATATTGTAAGACAGACATTCTAATGTGCCTGCTCTTTGGTTGGGAGATGATGAGACACTTTGACAACACCAGGGAGAAATAAATGATATAGGGTAGAGATAATTCCTAAAGTAAGAGAGAGATGTTATTACCAGGAGAGGAGTGGCTGTGGAGGAAGACTGTCAATAGAGATCAGTTGCTGAAAAGCAGACTGGAAGGTTTCTATTGGATGTCAGTGTGTTGTACCTTGGATAAAGTTTCCCAAGCACAGACTAACTGAAAACAGGGTTAATTCCTTTAATACAGAGTGTGTAACATTTAAAGGGGAAAAAAAAGACTCAGGCAAGAGGCACAACACTGGTGATTGTAAAGAGATGCAAAAGAAGTTTTTAAGAAGATTAAAACTAGATTCTTAAAGGTAGATGTTTTATGAAAGAAGTGTGGAGATAATGTTGGAAGGTTAGGTTGGGGCAGTTTGTGGAAGAACCAGTTGAGGAATGAATTTCCTTATTCCAGTAGAGGTTATAAACTCTTGGTCTTTATTGGCAGGCATGTGTAGTGGAGGGATTGTAGAGAAGGAAATGGGAAGAATATTAGGTAATTAGAGGATGTAGATGAGTGGAGTGAGTGATCAGCAGTAGGTCAGAACTGACCCTGAGATTTCAAGGCAAGACAAAATCTGGAGAGGGAAGGATGACACTGGGCCACAAGGAAGACAGCTCAGTCCTGGATGAAATGACTGAGAGACAAGAGAAAAAGTGGGACAAAGATCTAGATAAAGATCTAGATTCATAGGACATGAGATATGTGGCGAATATCTCAGTTCATTTTGTGCTTCTATAACAAAATGCCTGAGCCTAGGTAATTTATAAAGAGCAGAACTTGACTTCTCACAAGTCTGGAGGGTGAAAGTTGGTTTTATAAGACACAAATATTCAAACCAACATTTCATTCTAGAGACAATGGCTATTCTTAAGAAATAATACATGCTGGCAAGGCTTTAGAGATAAAGGAACCCTTCTTCATTGGGGTGGGAGTTTAAACTGATATGATTTCTATGGAAAACAGTTTTGGTGATTCCTCAAAAAATTAAAAATAGAAATTGCATTTGACCCAGCTATTCTCCTTTTAGGCATCTTCCCCACGGAGTTAAAAATGTCATACCACAGTGATATATGCATACACGTTTATAGCAGCATAATACATAATAGCTAAATAACTTAAATAACCATTAACCAATGAATGGATAAAGAAAATGTGGTATATATAAATAATGGAGTACTATACTGTTGTAAAGAAAGATAAACTTGAACATTTGTAGGAAAATTGATGCACCTTAAGGCCATAACATTAAGTGAAGTAAATCAGATATACAAGCTTGATTATTACATGGTTTCCTTTATATTAAAAAGTTAATGTATAAAAAAGTATGAAACAAAAGACACAATAGCAAAAAAAGAAAAAAGTTATTATATTGTAAGCATGTTTATTCTGTCAGTTTCTAGTTTCACTCCAATCTGGTGTAAAAACTCACTGTGGGATTTCAATTTGTTTGGATATATGAAGCTCCTATTGTTGCTAGGAACATGTTCTATTTTGAATAAAAATAAAATAAATCCCCAGAATAGGAAAAGCTATGAAGATAGAGAGTAATTCAGTCATGGTCTAGACTTATTGGGGAGGGATTGGGAGAGGCAGCTAATAGGTAGAGTGTCTTGTTCTGGGATAACAAAAATGATCTAAATTTGATTGTGGTCACAGTTGTACAACTCTGTCAATATACTAAAATCTCTGGAACTGTATGTTTTAAGTTTATAAACTATATAGTGTGGAAGTTTCAGTTTAATAAAGCCATTATTAAAAAAAAGAAGGGGAAAGGAGGGAGAAAAAGTGGAAGGAATGACAGCTGAGAAGCATCCTGGAAGCCAAGGATGGCAGGAAACACTGGCTTAGTGACATCAAATGGTACTATGTAGAAAAGGACATTGGATGGGATCTTCAGGAGGTTTTTGGTGACTCCCGGGTAGCAGCTAAATTGCAATGGTCAGAGGAGGATGGACAGAGCAGATGCAGGGACTCAACGTTTGACAATAAAAAAAAAGAGCAAGTCAGGCTAGTACTGGAAACAGGCAGAGAGAATTGTTTGGGGATAAAGGAGAACCAGTTTGGGACTTTTCATGGGTTTCAGGTAACATCAGGAAAACTGGGGAGATTTAGAGATGAGAGAGAATGAGAATCACTAGTGGAGTAAGAGAAGAGACCAAGGGTGTTGTTTGAGGAACAGTGGGATCAGGAAGGGGGCCTGGAATGCAGCAGGAAGGGGCTGAGATTCACAGGGACTGGACGTGAGCAATCTCGTACATCCCAATCTTGAATTTTCCAGTCTCGATCTTCTCAGTAGATTGAGGGTAAAGCCATCTGCTGAGAGTAACACTGGAGCTTCCGAGGCTTAAAGAAAATACAAAAAATTTGAAATATCTGCTGTGAGTTACTGTTGCAATAATTACTGTCTGAATGATGGGAAATAATATCTTTTCTTAATTCTAGGGATCTCTCAGTATTGTGCCCAAATTATTGATTTTCCCATCCCCTGGGAAGAGTTTGGGAAACTTTTAAAGATGCAAGTAAGAAGATATTTGCATTTTAAATATTCTGTCTGTTACGTAGAGATGGAGTAAGAAATGGAGAAAACAATGAAATCCTAGTGATAAATGACACGGGTGGGGACCGAGGAAATGAAAGATAATGGTCTATGGAAAAAACCTGCAGGGGGCGCTGAGTGAACCCGCTGGAGGAGCGGACGTAGAGTAGGAGGGAAAGTAGAGGCCCACTGACGTGGGAAGATCTAACTGGGGAGCTGGTGGCACAACCACCCAAAATGTGGGAGCCTCTGCCAAGAGGGGGCCGGCAGAAGACTCCAGGGTCCTGCTGGTCCACCTGAGGACCGAGACTCCTGCTGGATCCTCCAGGAGAGATGAAGGCAGCTGAAGAGAAAAAGTTCAGAGCTCACAGCAAGGGTCAGCAGGGCCCACTTCCTCCAAAGGAAGGACAGGCAAGGAAAGGAGACCAACCGGACCATTTTAGAAGTGAGTTTGAAAGACAAGTGTTAGAGCAGAGTTGCAACACCAGACATCTTCAGAGAAAAGATGAGGATTCAGCAAGAGGTATGGAGGGGGCCACTCATAAGATCCAAGAAAACACAGGTCTTAATGGTGTGTAGTAATCCAGAGAAACAAGGACTGAACAGGAGCAGGTGATGTAAGCTGCTGGGCCCTGACAGATAAGGCCAGAGAAGTGACCACCAGGTCTGCCAGCAGGGACCTTCCCAAGAGCTGTCTCCTCACCAGCAGGCTCAGGAGAAAGTTGAAGTGAGGGAACAGAATGTGAGCGAGCGTGTCTGAAATGCTTTGCTGCAATGAGTAGAGAATCAGGCTGCAAATAGTGCCAGAAAACTGAGTGGCCTTTGGGAGACAGTTGTAATAACCAGCAAACCCAAAACTATTCAAGTCCGCTAGAATGAAGGCGGCTCTCCTCCGTGGAAAACTCAGTTTTATCAATCAGGGGAGTGGAGGAAAAGGGATCAAAAGAGACAAGATCTATCTCCATTTCCATGAAGACTATAATAATTCTAAGACCCCAGAAGCAACAGTGCTGTAAATGAGGTGTGCAGGGTGGCCAGGTCCTTAAAAGGGATATGAAGCCTGGCTCCACTACTACTGGTGACAGTGAATTTTAATTTGGGAGCTGTGATAAACCTATATGCACTGGTCCTCACAGCAGGAGTATTCAGAGCTTTAGAGCAGGCAGAGATGACATTTGAACTCTTTACATCTCTGCGCCTTTAGTGACTGGTGGCTCTAGAGGAGCAAAAGGATCCAGGAACATGGAAGAGATTTCAGCTGAACTCGGAGCAGGAGGAAAATACAATGATCTTGACCTGCTTATCAAGTAAACAATAAAAGCAGAGTTACAAATTAAACCACTGCGCCAATAAAGTTCTCCCAGTTGGTGAAATAAGGCTAAAGGTTCTGAGTAATCATTTACACCCAGGGGATTAGACAACTGGAAAAAACTGAGAGAAATGAATTCGAAAAGAATGAGGAACCTGCATGCTACCTCCCTCAGGTTAGCTTTCCAACTTTTATTCCTTCATACTCTGCTTCTGCAAGGTGGGAATGGTTCTTTCTCTCTGTGGTAGTGGTTTAATTTGCTGCTTGGAGGTAAGAGGTTGTGGTGGTAAAACAACGTCTGTGACATAATTCTGCAAAGGGAGAGGGGATGGTGCTGTTTTTTTCCCAACAGAAACCAGAACCCTAAAAATAAAGGTAATAAAATTCTCCAAAAGGATAGCTGGAGGTAAGAGACAGAGATAGGGATAAAGATAGATGAGAGAGAGAGAGACAGAGACAGAGAGAGAGTTATTTGAAGCATCTGAAAGCAAACAAGCAATGTTAAGCTTCACTTTTAAGTGTTTTACAGGAAGCAGACAGTCTGCAGCATAAGATCCATATATTGGGCTTGTTTTGGGGGATATATTAATTTTTCAAAATTTTTTCATCAGTCTTGTGGTGAGACAATAATTGCAAATACTGAATTCTTACAAGTAAGATTTTTATCAGATCTGAAAGGTCAGATGAATCAAAACAGACAAAGCCCTTTTCAATTAATTTATGTGTAGGGAAAAGCAGCATCAATGAGATCACACATGGATGGCTTTGGGAAGTGGTTCATGAGTGAAGAATTTGGGAATTTGGGGCAGTGGAGTGTTTCTCTCTCTCTCTCTCTCTCTCTCTCTCTCTCTCTCTCTCTCTCTCGTTTGCTTTTGTTTTGAGAAAGGGTCTTGCTATGTAGCCCAGGCTAGCCCCAAACTCATGGTGTTCTTCCTGCCTCAGCCTCCCAGGTGTTGGGAGTGTAGGTGTGCTGTGCCACCACTACCAGGGACAGCAGATCTTTATTTGGGAGCTGTGAAAAACATCTATGCACTGGTCCTCACAAGGAGACTTCAGAGCTGAGTGCAGGCAGAGGTGATCTTTGAGCTGTTTACATCTCTGTGCCTTTAGTGATTGGTGTCTCCAGAGAACAGGACCCCTGATCATCAAAAGGGAGCACACAAAACAGTTTAGGCAAGAAAATTTCATTAGACTGCCTGGTCCAGTGTCTTTGCTGGCTCTTCCTGATCTACTTGGTCCTAAAAAAATTAGATTGGGCTGTTGGCTTCCAAAAGCACAGTTCTACCTGGGCCTTCTGTCCCAAGCTATGGAAGCAGAGACAGAAAGCCTGCTTGGCAATCCTCCCTCAGGATCCCACGGTTATCTCACACCCATGCGTTTGGAGCAAAACTTGCTTTGCCTGTGGCAGCTGGCCCTTCTCCACTCTTTTCCCATCTCTACCGAGCACAGCGCCAATTCGTGCTTTAGCTTGAGCCATCAATCTTGATGTCGCAGATGCCCCTTTTTCTCATCTCCTTGCCACCAAAATACATTTTCTAAGTGACCTTTTCAACTCCAGCCAACCCCACTGAGCTTCCATCAACACTTGGCCCAGGTGAAGAGGGCAGCTTCTTTCTGTCTCTTGGTTCTTGCTCTTGTCCCTTGCAGGGCAAGCACTACACCTCTGCGAAATCTCTCCAGTCCCCTCACCGCAGAGTCCTAAAGGAGACGCTGCCCTGCTGATTGCTCCCAGAGCCTCTCTTAACATGCACCTCCTTGCTCCTTCTGCACTGTTTGGGGCAGATCACCTGGAACAGCACCTCACCCTTGCTGGTTCCTTTGCTGGCCTCATCTCATCCAGCTGCGCTTCCTATTGGCCTTGAGATGGAACTGTTTCATGAGCCCAGGGCTGGTTTCTCAGTTAGACCAGGCAGTGGAGCTGCCCTCTCACAGCACTGGCTACTCAGTCACTGTCACTGCTGCTGTGCCAGTTTTACTGATTTCCTTTCATTTTGTGCTCCTACCGGCACGCACCGCTCCCAGCGGCATGTCTCAGCATGCAATCCCCAGCTACGGCTCCATCCTGCCTTCTCCCTCTATGGCCAATTCCACCGCTCCCAGGAACTTCTGCAAAGCCAGCAGTGCGGGTCACCAGGAAGACTGGTGGGAGCTTCTCTCACTGTAAATTCAGGGAGGGCGCACTGAGCCCTTCAGTGGAGCAGGGTAAAGACCTGTGGAGCTGGACAGTCCATTCACAGACTCAACACACCTTCGGTGTCAGTGAACTAGGCATCAGTTCACTAGAAGCGTCTGTATGGCTAAAGGGAAGACTGTTCCTCTGAAAGCTGTGTTTTGGATTCTTGTGATTGATAGGTTGTCTGCCATTCAACTAACTGCCTGAGGTGTGGACAGGAATGATAAGCACTTTACTTTTATTTTTAAAGCCGAAGGTCCATCCCTTCATTTTACATTTTCATGGAATTTGGGTGAATGTGTGACAATACCAGACACCTTGTCTACAGGAATTCTCTCTCTGTTTCTTCATCTCCACCTCTCCTCGTGGCCCCTTGCTTCTTAAGTCTTAATGTGGTCTCCCCCGTACTCTGACATTGGGGCAACATTAACTGTTTTCTTCTCAGAATAGTGTGTTCAGTCAAGAGGGAGTCAAAAGAGTCCTATTTTAACACACACACACACACACACACACACACACACACTCTGAACACAATAAGAACCAAAGATTTCCACACCAAAGATTTTGTGACAGATTTTTATTGCTATTTTTTTCAATTTTGTGTGCATGTATTTATTTTTCTTTTGGCAGTTCTGGAGTTTGAACCCATGATTCTCACTGAGCTACTTCCCCAGACCTTTTAAATGTTTTATTTTGAAACAGGGTCTTGCCCAGTTGCTAAGTTGTCCAGGCAGGGCTCAAACTCATGATCCTCTTACCTCAGACTCCTAGAGTGCTGGGATTATAGGTATGATATACTATATCCCATACTATATAGGTCTAATATACTATACCCATCTCATTTTTTAAAAAAATCACAGCAATGATTCACAAATACATTATTGTTGTAACACATTTAAACATGAAAGATAAGTGACCACTCCTGCCCTCCCCGCTCAATAGAGATGACAGGTCTTACAGGTTTAATTTTTCTTTTCATTGTTTTTTTGTTCACTCATACATGTATGTGTACACATAAAATATATAATGTAGTATATGTATCTATGTTGGTTTTATTTAGTCATCTTACACTTACTGTTGTACAACTTGCTTTTTTACCTGATACATCTTTTTAATCTTTATGTCCTTTCATATAAAGATGCAATTTGTTCTTTTGATGGCTGCTTGATATTTCAGAAAACGTAAGCACTTTAACTATGCAAATACTAGCACTTGTTATTTTGCTCCTGATCTTTTACTTTGTAAGCACTGCTGTGAAGATATGTCATGCACACTGAGCTGCATGGTTGTGATTTGGTAAGAACCAACTCTTTGGTTCTTACTGTCTTTAGAGTGTGTGTGTGTGTGTGTGTGTGTGTGTGTTAAAATAAGACTCTTTTGACTCCCTCTTTGACACACTATTCTGAGAAGAAAACAGTTAATGTTGCCCCAGTGTCAGAGTATGAGGGGGACCACATTAAGACTTAAGAAGGAAGAGGCCACTGAGGAGAGGTGGAGATGAAGAAACAGAGAGAGTTTGTAAATAGTGCTGTCTAATGCCCATTGTACCAAGCTGATGCAGTCCCAAGCGGAGGTGCAGGAACACCCTACAATCAACAGCAAACTTCCCCCCAAGCTTGCCTAAACACGGTGATAACAATTTTCCCCCAGTCCTGGGGTTGAATGTAGGGCCTTCATACTGAGCTACAGTCCCAACCCTTTTATATTGTATTTTGAAGTAGGATCTCACTAAGTTGTTAAATTGTTCAGGATTAATTTGAACTTGCAATCTCCTGCCTCTGCCTCCCAGAGTGCTGTGATTACAGGTGTGCATCACCACACCTGGCTTGGTGATAACGATCTTTCAGGATATTTATGAAAGTTGATAAATGAGAAATAATGAGATCTTGTTTTTTTCATTTCCATGTCCACGGGCACATTTTTCTCAAGCATGTTTTTCATCTACATTTATATGTTGTTCTGATTTACCATTTGCCTATAGCTTATCATTTTAAAAAATTACTTTGGAGTTTTAAAATGCCACTCATTTTCTAATTAATTTCTTTCCATCCATCAGGGAGCTTTTACGCTAATATTATAAGTATTTTTTGTATTTTGAAGTCTCCTTATGGTAAGCCTAGATGTAAGTTTGAGTTCATCGCTCTGGTTTGAGACTCTGTGATTCCTAAGTCTGAGAAGTCTTGCATTGCATGTATTCTGGAAAATTCCTACTCATCATTTCTTACAGTATTGCTTCTCGGCTGAGAGTCAAACCGCTATGATGCAGCTCTGGGGGGCCAATGCAGGAGGACAGCAAGTTCAAATCCTGCCTGGGCAACTTAGTGATTGATCAAGACTCTCCTGCAAAATTGAAAAAAAAAAGATAGGGATAAAGCTCAGTGAATGTGAAGGCCCTGGGCTCAGTCTCCAGTACTGGAAAAAAAAAAGCCTCTCCTCAATTCTCTTTATTTTCTGCTCATGGAGGTTCTATTTAACTGAGCTTTTCTACTGCATTTTCCAGGTCTATAACTTTGCTGTCATTCCTCATTATCTCCCTGGTGTCTTTTGGCTCAATCTGCTCATCACTGTATTTCATTGCTCTGTGTTTTGCATTAACTATGTCCAGTTACTTAGATTCAAATTTCAATAACTAAATTTTTCTATTGCATTTCAAGCAGTTTCTTGACATGCTGTTTTTTGGTATCTTACATTATAGAGTCCAGATTTTATTTAATTATTTTAAATGTGCCTCCCTGAATGTCTTTCTTCTATTTTGGCAAGTTCCTCGCAATCTAATTTATGTGCTGAGTCTGAGGCCTTGCTTTAGGAGGGGAGTCAGTTCTTTGAATGTTTACGGTCTTGGCTCTTGAGCTCGTATTACATGGAGCTTCATCCATAGTAATTCTGTGTGATCTGAGTTAAGCAAATCGGCCTGGCTCTATTTTTCAGCTGAGACTGAGTTCCCAGACAAAGGAAACAGTGTGAATCTCAACTCTCCATAATATCACTATAAATTTTCAGAACTTTCAGAGGAGTCTTCTTATTTTCAAGCTCCAGCTCAAGACAATGCAAAAAGTGTCACCACCTGACCTGGAAAAGGGGAGGGCCTCTCTGGCTAAGTTTTGGACCCCTGCGTGGCCTCTGACTGTATGCTAGGATCTCCTTTATGGTCTCCTTCCTGGTATAGTCCAGGCTTCACCTTCACCTCCAGGGCTGTAGGTCCCCTGGTCCTGTATCCTTGGAATGAATGTTTCCTCCATGCCTCATGTACATTGTCACCGAAGAGTCCAAAGGGTCCATGCAACTCTGACTTTTCCTTATATCCTGGGGGCATCTCTTACTATACCTGGTGCTAGGTATTTAATAAGATGTTTGCCATGTTTTATTCAGCCTATTTAGGTGTTTTTGAGAGATCATTTTTGTCAGGTAACTTAACTCATTGGAATCCTCCAGATGAAATTTCAAAGGAGGTGATCAATTGTCATGTCCTGTTGGTAGTAATATCAGCATAAGCACCTGGGAGCATGAAACTAGAAAGAATCCTACAATGCATCCACGCAATCCAGGCCAGATTTCTCATTTCAGAGGCAGATGCTTAGACCCAAGCTATCTGAGACTTTTCCAAACCCACAGGGTTTAGCAGCGATGCAGCTGATATGGCAAATCCAGTGTACTGCACCTAGTCCAGTACTTTCTTTTTTTTTTTTTTTAGTCCAGTACTTTCTTACTGAATGACATTTCCTCTTAATTCTTGGAAGGACGTAAGATACAGGACACATCTCTTTACAGGTGCTTTGAACTCTTTTATGTCCATAGGTAAAGGCCAGTCCTGGGGAGGAGAGCACCGCCATGGCTACTGGGGCAGACTTTAAGGCTGCAGGGGAAAATATCCCCAATGATGGCGACTCCCACCTCGCTGAGGAGCGATCTTGCAGGAAAGGTAAATCGTGCACAGAGACCTGGATGTGGGAAAGGGTGGTATCTGTGACACTTCCTCGTCCCTGCTGTTCCTCTGCAACATTCCTTTTGGTCAGGCCAATTGCCAAGAATTCTACATAGCTGTAGAGCACACTTAATCCTTATTACTTTATTTCTCACAAGAAATATTGAAGGACAGGAATTACAATATTATTTGGAGATGAAAATGATTCAGAGGAGATTCTAAATAGGAAACATGGAAATTATGTCTGATTCTAAAGTCGTATTAGATCTCTCTGCCAAAACTAAACCCAGACCCAACTCAGAAAGAACAGACTTTCTTTTTCTACCATATCATAGAAAAATACCCTTCCTTGTTCTCTCATCTATGTTATAACTTAGTGTTTTTCTATAACGTGCAGTAAGGATCACCTTGGAGTGCTGTTTCACCCTTAACTATTTATAACTGTCATCCCTTAATTCTCCTAAGGATATAAGCTGTTCATGAAATAATGCCTTTTAAAAATAAAATGCTAAGATGGAATTTTTTGTGCTACATACACCTTAGCTAGTTTGTCTCTTAAGAAGTAAACGTATCTTCAAGAAAAGTGGGTTTTCCTAATCTTCTCCACCATGGAAGAAATCAGGAGATGTGCATATTAATGCTCATCCTACAATTCACCACTTGATCCAAAATAAATATAGTACTGTTCCAGTGGTACTAGCTTATGATCTCATCCATCTGTACAAGTATTTCAGAGTCATTTGACAAAGTCTACTACATGTATTCTTATTTTTCACTCTCTCTCTCTCTGAGCTTTTTTATGTATAGAATTGTATCAAGGTGCAGAATGCCATACAGTGTAGGAGCACCGGGCAGAAGCCAGACTGCTTGAGTTTGCAATCCTGACTCTGCCATGTCTAAGCTATGTGACTTTAGGCAAATTTACCTGAACTCCCCATACCTCAAGTCTTGCATCTGTAAAAATGGGGGAGGTAATAACAACAGCCAACTTACATGACCGCCACAAGGATTAAATTATTTCTACAAATAAATAAAATCATTTATTATTTGAACTAAAACTATAAAAAATGTCAAATTATCAAATAATTTTAGTTGAAATAATATAAGAAATAATTTAAAATGTAATTAATCATTTAATAATTATTAAACATAATTTTTAAATTATTAAATTAGTTCAACTGATAAATGCATAGAATGACACCTCACACAGAGTAGAAATAAGAACTATTGATTTAAGCATCCAATTTACTGAGCCTACAACTTTAAAGAAAGAATGTAGAATGAAATAAAAAATGTAAAAATAATGTGCATTCAAATAAAAAAATAGAAAAATGACACAGAAACATTGAAAAATATATAATATATCAATTAGGGGGAAATGTAGATAAAGTAAATATTTTCTAGGAGTTATAATCCATAACTTATTTTAGCCATATGTGATTTCATGTTGTCTCCTATTTTTTCATGGTTACTTGTATCTAACCTCTGCATGATTACTCCTAAGAGTAGATTGCTTCTTATTGCCTTGAATAGATCTTTATTAAAGAAGCAGCTCTTGTATATAATTGATAAGCTCAATTCCTTCATGATTTGAGTATCTATTATTTTCTACATTTAAATTGTCTATTTCATTCTGCATACTTTCCTTAAAGTTGTAGACTGAGTGAACTGGATGCTTAAATCACCCGTTTTCATTTTATGTATAATCTGCACCCTTCCCCTCTCCACATCTATTATTAGGGTCCACTATCTTGCTGTTCCTTTACATTTTTCATGACTTTTCAGTTTCTGATTCCATGTCACTGACTTAATTTTCTAGTAATAAAACGTCTCTGGAACTAACTGAAAGTTTCACATTGGTGTAGAAAAAAAGTCTTGAATACATGAGTGGAAGGAATTACTCTAATTGTGACCATTTTTCTGAATTCAATCTGCCACATTAATGTGATGTGACTAAAATTCCAATGTACATTTTGTGGATGGAAGTCAGGTACTGCCAGAGTTTGGTTCTCCCAGAGTTAGACTAAAGCAGTAGTGGCAAACCTATGGCATGTATACTGCAGTGGGAAGTTTGTTAGCACTGAAAGCTCGAAAATGTTTGCCATCACAGGACTAAAGTGAGGACCCGTCAACTTCCAGAATGTAAGAGGAGCATCATTACACCAGAGTGCACAGGGCTGGCCACTTGAAATGCATCAGCTCCTGGGAGGAGACTGGAAACTGGGAATTATCAGGGTGGGAGGGCAGTGATCCTGCATTACCTCTGGGGTTTCTCTGCAGGGGTAGCCTATCAACCCTTCCAGCTGCTGTCAAACAATGTTAGGTGGTTTGATAAAGAGGTGTGCTCCCAAGGAATATAGATTTATTTTGTGTAAGCCTAGATTACAGAATTGTGACAAAGTTTAAACACACCTATTTCTACTGTAGCCTATCTTTTGAGCTTCATCTCCTTCCAGGCCCCAAACAAGTGGTGCACCCACATCCCTCAGTTATATAGGACACTTACAGATACCTTAGGTGCCCAAGCAAGACACCTGGGAGTCACTTCCAGCAGTTTCCTTTTGTTCATTCTCCACGTTCAGTCAGTCACTGCTTGCAGCCAGTTCTTTCTCTGAAGTGATTTCTTTCCATTCCCACTCTCACCTGCCCGTTCCAGAACCCTGAAAAGCTCTTCCCTAGTGATTGCTCTCCCAGCTTCATATATTCTTCCATTCTCTGCTTAAGCAATGCTTCTAAGGGAGCTATCTCTCCCTCCATTTCTTGTGGGGGGGTCCTCCAGGTACCTACAGGGTAGTGTCTGCATCACTAACAGACATCAGTCTTCTCCCTTTTCCAGTCTTAGGAAGGACAGGAGGAAAGCATCCTGCCGATAAGACTTTTTGTGCCTTCTCCCTCAGGCTTTTGCACAGTCCGACATGGGCTGGCCATCATTTTGCAGCTCTGTAACTTTTCAATCTACACCCAACAAATGAATCTGAGCATCGCCATTACAGCTATGGTGAACCACACAGAGGCCAGCCAGCCCAACTCCTCCACAGAGCAGCCCTTTGTGGATGCCCAGGGCAACTGGAATGAAACCTTAAAGGAAGCAAAGGCACTGGTAAGTTTAATGAGATGCCAGGCACTTTCTTTGATTCAAATCCTTTGATGTGAAGGGTTACCTTATACAAGACTGAGATTCATTTATCCAGCACATATCTGTTGCTCATACACTATGTGCCAGGTAACAGCACAAGAGCACAGTATACATCTAGAATATTTTATATCTGCTTGATGTCTATGAGTGTAGACAGGGACCGAGTTAGAGTGAAGGAGACGGTCTTTACCATTTAGCGGACATAAATTCTCCTCTGGCAATGATGACAATCAACACAAAAGAAGTTACATAGATTTATGTTTATTTTCTCTTCCTTTTTTAGATAATTTTTATGGCCTTGCTTATGGTGCTTCTTTCTTGATAAGCTTGGTATCTTCGCAGACTCTCATATTTTCATGGCTCAGCTAATTGGGTCAGAGTGACAGGAAAGAATGTGTGGGGCACATACCTTTTTTTGTTAATGAAATTGGTATATTAAAGAATTGGAAAAAGGAAAAGGGAAAATAATAGTCCACTTCCTCACCAAAGATAAACAGTGAGGTTCTTTTCACTGTCCAGGCCCCTGTTTATAACTGGAGTCCTGAAATCCAGGGAGTCCTCCTCAGCTGCCTCAACTATGGCTCATTCCTGGCTCTGATCCCCACTGGCTATGTGGCTGGGATATTTGGAGCCAAGTATGTGGTTGGCTTTGGCTTGTTTGTTTCCTCAGTCCTGACGCTCTTCTTTCCACTGGCGGCTGATGTTGGAGTGGCCTTGCTCATTGTCTTCCGGGTCATCCAAGGCATTGCCCAGGTATGAAGTGTTTTCAAGTGCAAATGAAATATAGGTTCCACAGTGATCTCCTATATCTAAGAATGGAAATATTCCCCCCCCCCCAGGTTATGGTATTAACAGGTCAATACTCAATTTGGGTCAAATGGGCTCCCCCACTGGAAAGGAGTCAACTCACCACCATTGCTGGGTCAGGTAACTGATATCTTAATCTCATCTTTACATACCCTTTCGATGACTACTCTGAAGAGAGTTAAGACCTTGCACCACAATTACTCTGTCTTCCTTGCTTAAAGGTACTACCTTGCATTCCTGATCAGAACTGAATGCTAACTATGCCCAAACATTCTTGTGTTTTATGTCTATTTATTTCCTTTTAGCCTCAGAACATTTTTATCTATACATATGTATATATATATAATTATTTCAATTTCACATGCAGTTGGAGACACGAATAAACTAGTAATTGCCCAAGATCACACAACTACTAAGTGAAGAAGCAGGACTTGCCCTAGGTAGTCTGGATTAAAGCTCATTCCTTCAATCACTGTGTATCTGAGCTTTGTAGGAAGCACACAGAGTCCCAGGACTGGCCCTCTTACAAGGAACATTCTTGCATCTTTTGTTTAGGGTCAATGCTGGGGACCTTCATTGTTCTCCTTGTTGGTGGTCTCCTCTGCCAGACCATAGGATGGCCTTATATCTTTTATATATTTGGTGAGTTTGTGCTTTCCAAATCTTAGTATTTTATTTTATGACAAAGTATGCTTGGCATGATTTCTGTGATACAACTTATCTATGGTTAACCAATCCTTAATAGATATAGATGTTTACATAGCTAAAGTTGATGAGGTTCAAAGTTAATCATGTTGTGAACCTTCTTGGTTATAAAACAGTGTTTAAGTGTTAATAGCACGAGTGTGCAGCTAGGATAATTTGTGAATTTAAGGGTATCATATTTCTTCCTGCTTCTAAATGGAACCTACAGAATCCTAGGGTAATTTCTTTCATAAATTGTTGAAAATGTTATCATGGGATGATGTATTTTTACTCATGTTCATTTAATTAATACATTACAAAATTCTTCTGTTATTACAATGGAGTATTACTCAGCTATAAAGAAAGATAATCTCAAGGCTTTTATAAGTAAATGGATGCAATTAGAGACCATGCTAATAGGTGAAATAAATCAGAACCACATGTATAACCATCATACTGTCTCCCTAGTATAAGAATCTGAAAGAGTAAATAAAGTCTGAAAGGTACAGTAGATATTGTGAAAGGGAAAGAAACTGGTCAAAAGGAAACAACAACTGGGATAAGGGAAAGGAGAAAAGAAAGAAAGAAGGAAGGAGAAAAATTCTATTATTACAACAGGCAGAAAATTATGTGAATATGACCTAAGCATAGATAAAATACTATTTAGAGAGGAGAATCAACCATAGAGTCTGCAGAACAGGGCAGACTGTAAGAGCTCAGTTGTGGACACAATACTCAGAAAGATGCTGCAGAAAGGTGCCAAAGACATAGAATGTTCCAGAAACAATATTTTACTATCTTTCAATTTTACCTTTGTTGAGCTCTGGTTGGGATTTGCCCAGGTGATGTCAATGCCAAGGTGATGTAATATTTGTATGTTTGTCTGATTTTTGAAACATTTTCTGAAATTCCACCTGCAAATTGCGATTCCTTAGTATATGTTCCACTAACTAGGCTTTATGTTAGAAGAGATTCAACTTAGATTGAAGCCCTCTATAAATTCAGATCAATATATTCACTCCTCAAAAATTTGTGAAGATTGATTACTGTAGCATATCAGCCTTCAAAGGTTGTCATGAAAACATCAAAAGGGTACATTACAAAAATTGTTAAAAAATGAGAGAGACTTGCTGTGCTTTTGGTTATGAGAAATGTTAGGTAGCATATACAAAACAGGAACACACTAAATAGCTGCTGAATCAGTATTAAGATTCTCCACTGCCATGTGCACCATTGCTACTGTTTGTACCTATCCCTCTGCACTTCACTGAATTCATGTGTAACAAAAGTGTGTTTTTGGATTCTGTAGTCTCAACATTTAGCAATATGTCTGGTACATAATGTTCATGTGAGAAAATATGTAAATGACAAGCTAGTCAAATACAGAGAATCCTTAAGATTTTCTTAAAATGCTAAAAAGGAAATTTTAAAATGAGCCATGTTGCCATTTATTACTGATAATGTTGAGTTCCTGACTAATGCTTATCTTAGAAGAAATTTCTTTGCTGAGGATTAATTTCATTTCATGTCCAGAAATTGTCTGATTAGTCAACTGCACACAAAATATACTGCTGCCAACTCTTAACTGCTTTAGAAAGATTCGGAATATACGCAGAAAGGGTTAAGAAGAAAGGAACTTCGCAGGAGCATGACAGGAAAGATGCTGGTTGGTACTTGAATAATGAGGGTGTATTCAATCATGGAGTGAACACACTAATAACTTGTAAAAATGCCTTGTAGCCTTGAGATGACAGAGCATTTCAAAACCTCTCCAAACTAGGTGGTTTAGAAGAGTCATTTTATTGTCAGAGGTCTTTGGGAAAGCTGGGTGGCTCTGCTATATGTCTGTCTTCTCCCTTGGTTAATGGACAAGCTGGAGCAAATTCCCCCATGACAATGGCAAGATCGCAGAAGACAAGTCAGGAAAAAGCAGTGCTTCTTACTGCCTGGGCTCAAGACGTCCCTATGCCATTGGTAAAAATGAGAAACATGGCCAAGATCAAAGTCAGATGGGGACAAGGGCCCTGATTTTTGATGGGCCCTGGAAGGATACTCATGCAGAGAGGGGTTTAGTGTTGGCATCACTTTGTCAACCGCAAGATTATCTGGGCACAGAGACAAAATGAAAGGAAAACTCCAACCCAGTGCCAGCCGGGAATTCTTTGTCTAGGTGGAATTGGCTGTGCCTGCTGCCTTCTCTGGTTTCCTCTGGTCTATAATGACCCTGGGAGTCATCCCTTCATCAGTACCAGTGAGAAGAGGTTCATTGTGCGCTCATTGTCTCAGCAGGTACATCAAGGGACTTCCCTGCCATTTCCTTGTGTATGTCTGGGTTGTGTAGAGCTGAGAGTGTGGTAGCAGAGTCCTTGCTTTCTGATGGGGGCATGTTGGCATGTGCTTTCTTCCAGGACTGTTCTCCTGGCTGGTCTCTTCCAATTAAAGCTATGATCAAATGTCTACCACTTTGGGCCATTATAGTCTCCTATTTCTGTGAATACTGGCTTTTCAATATCATAATGGCATACACGCCCACTTATATCAGCTCTGTACTTCAAGCCAGCCCCAAAGATGTAAGTACAGAAAAAGCTCATTCTGCTATGTTTGACTGCATCATTATATAATCGTCTGTCTTTCCCATGGTCACAAAACAGGGGATTAGACCAAGGACCACAGACAGGAAATACAGCCGGGTTAATCTGGATTCTGATCTACCTCAGTGTGGTTTACGGCTAATTGGTATGGTTTTTAAGAGACTTATGTGAAAATTTTGTGCTTGATTCCAATTAAAATTGGCAAACAAAACAATCTGTCTGCAACATAAACTGCAAAGCCTTAGGAAAACAAATTCTGTGCTGGAAAACAGGTGACAGGGAAGCATAAACAACATATGCTGAAATTAACAACTATTAATAGGGCATAAACTCCTAAGTAGTTATGTGAAATATCTGTAGACTTTAGAAAATATTTTGTTCCAGCATCATGTTTCCAGCTCTCTGGATTAGCTCCAAATGAGCAGATGCTCCGACTGGCTAATAGGAGCCTCTCAATTCCCACCCACTGGAGGGAGGTCTTGCAGTGGTGAAGAGTATCATGTGTTATAGCCTACTGGTGACAGTTCACAGGCCCTTGATGACCCTGTACTGAAAGGGCAGCCTTCTCATACTTAGGGTGTTTGTGAGTGGCCAGGGGAGAGGTGACCCGCTCAGTGGGTGTCAGGGTCTAGGGAATACTCACGCAAGCAGGCAAAGGGACTGCAGGCCCGGGGACCAGACAACTCAGGAAGGAGTGACTCCCAGTCCTCTCAAAGAGGGGTGCTGGAAGCAGGTAGTGTAACCAAGGATCAGAGGGCAGGAAAGCCAGGCAAGTGGGAATGATACAACTCTGGTGTGAGGCTGAGTGGGGAGGCCAAGGGTGAAGAGGGGAAGAGGGGAGAACAAAGAGAAAGACAAGTGAGAGTGACAGCAGAGCTTCACCTTCTGAGAAGTCAAGACCTGAGCTCCCTCACTCTCAGATACTCCCTATTAGTCAGGGGCCTTGACAGTCTTGGCTTACTCACCTGTCAAACGAGCTGTCTGGATGAAGTGAAAGCTAAGTGCTTTCTGTTATTTGGATTATGTTCAACAAAACATGATGCCCTTCTTTCATTTGCTTGACTGAGGTCAGGTTGATAACAAGGTTCAATATTTTAAAAACCATATAAAAATTTACAACTAACATTTTCACATTATAAATTCATACAAAGAGTAAAAAATTCTTAGTCCTATTCTTGTTCCTAATCTATTCTGTTGCACAGACCCTCTCCATAGACTGTATGTGACATATATTCTTCTATAATTTATATACTAGAGGTTTTTTTTTTTTCCATTTAATATACTGTGGGAATCTTCTTCTACCACTACATGAAAACCTTTCTGAGCAATATTTGGGTTGTTTCCAATCTCTGAGCAGTGGAAACATGGTTCATTTGTCAGGTGTTTATGCCACTGTGCATACCAGATTGTGAAATCAAAGGGTAAACACACTCCGAACTTCTATACTTACTGTCAGTTGCTTTCCCTAGGGCACCAATGGGATTTGTGGGAATGTGATTCCCCAGTGTCATCACTGGACAGGTCAAAAAACATTTCCAGTTTTGTAAATTTGACCCTTGAAAAGTAATGTCCACTGGAGTTTTATTTTGCATTTGTTACAGTATGAGTGAGGTTGGGCAACTTTTAACATGATTAGAGTCAACTTGTTTTTCTGTAACTTGTTTATATTGTTTATTTTTCTGCTGGGTTTTGGTCTTTTTAATATCTATGTCAAGATGATCCTTCTATGAAAGGAAAGCCCTTTAAACTTTTTAATTGTTTGTTTTTCAAACTGACACAAATGCGTATTTTGAGGAGGCACTAAACTTATATCGGCTCATTGCAGTAAGATGGCAAGGACATTAAAAATGGGGTGTGTGCAGAGAAGGGCCGCAAGTGAGGGCAGTCCCCTGAGGGTCCATCGGTGTCTTGCTGGGTGCAGAGGGTGCATGTGCTCACCTCGGCTCCAATCCTCAGAGTGGGATCCTCTCGGCCCTGCCCTTCGTTGTTGGTTGCATCTGCATTGTCCTTGGAGGCCTATTGGCAGATTTTCTTCTCTCCAGAAAAATCCTCAGACTCGTCACCATCAGGAAAGTCTTCACTGCCATAGGTAATGGCCCAGCAGGAGGCAGGGTGGGTGTGGGTGGCACATAGAACCTCCTAATTCTTGTTTTCGTCCTTCTGCCACAGGAGTTTTCTTCTCATGTATGTTTCTGGTACCTCTGCCTTGGGTCAGATCCAGCCAAGGCGCCACCATGACCTTCTTGGTTCTGTCTGCTGCCTCCAGCAGCTTCTGTGAATCAGGAGCCCTTATTAACTTCTTGGATATCGCTCCTCGGTAAGGACCACGTTGCCTCATTTGCACAAAGCCTCAGTTCAGGTGCAGTAACCTTAAGCCTGCTCTGATGTGCAAGTCAAATGTGGCATGGGTCACACGCCACGGGCAACATTCCCCTTAGTTTTACATCCAAAGAACTCTTCGAAGCTACCCTGAGCTGTCACCTATGGTTATGCAAACAAGAACATTCTGTGGCCATGCTGACAGCTCCACTGAAGGACACGGACAAATCCCTCTGTGTTATGGGGTGCAGCAGCCACTCCGGCTTCATCCTTGAAAGGATCGTGAGACCCCGCAGAGTAGGCCCATGTACGGCTCTCATAAAGTGAAAGGACACTGCAGCACAGGAGAAATAGCTATTGCTGACATAGGAAACACCACAGGTGACCGAGACTTCCCGACTCATCTTCTAGGGTTCTGGGAATCAACAGGACCCACTTATCTCCAAGCTTCATAGGAGATATGTTGCCTTCAGGGAGTCAGTCTCCGTTTCAGTGAAGACTGTTGTATATATAAGGTGGCAACTTTTGTATTCCAAAACGAGTCTAGAGGATCAGGTTCAATAGCAAGAACCAAGAAAATATCTAAACCACATGCAAATCACCAGTCTTCACATTTCACATAAATGATGTTGACAAGCCAGCATAGGTCACCTCTTGGAAGTCTCAGACCCCAGCAGAGGATTTTACAAACAATTAATCAACACTTTTTATTCAGGCTGAGCACAGTTCCAGGTGTCCCCAAAACTAAGCACAGACTTACAGCGAACCAACTGAGATGAACCCTTTAACATGAGGGTGTCCTCTCTCCCCTATCGTTCCCCCTCTCTCAGGTATGCTGGCTTCCTCAAGGGACTATTGCAGGTCTTTTCACACATAGCTGGAGCCATCTCTCCCACTGTAACTGGAGTTCTCATCAGTCAGGTAAGGTCAAATGTTCTGATGAATATTCATAAGAGAAACCTAGAGAGGTTATCAGGAGAAGTCAGATTAAGGGTATTTTTGTTCCCTTCTCAATGTGGCTAGACGCATAACTCGTGAATCTCAAGCGCTCAACACACCCTTATCCCCAGCCTAAGCTCAGCATTGTGCAAGGAAATTACCACCTGCCTGGGGTGTGGACTGAAGGAGAATGTTCTAGGTTATCAGTTTATGCATTGCAAAGTCTTGTGAAATGAGATTCTTATGCCAACAACCAAAATTTCCAGTAATATTCATGGTTTGTCTGAGACTGAGGGATTTCTTAGGATGTGTGTCTTTCAGTGTTAAAACCTAGAATGTTCTGGGCAAACCAAGATGAGTGTCCACCCCACATAGGAACCCAGAAAATGTTTGCAGAATGTATGAGCAACATACCAAGTGAGTGACAGAGTGAGAAACAATCTGCACCTCCCAGGAATGCTCAAGCTAGGCATAGCAGAGGTATTTTCACATTTGTGCAGCCTTCCTTCCTGGATTCATTTAAAGTAGTCACAATAAACACATACACAATAAACATGCTGCCAGAGAGTCTTACTGGTGCAGACTTTCCATGAAGAAAAATGTCTGATACATTCACATGAATATCTTCTTAAATGCTCCTATGGTTTTCTACCAGTAAGTTAGGAAAATGAGTGAGAACAACGGAGTCTTTTTGGAAGCAAATCCCTACTTACTTCTGAGCCTTCAGCTCCCTTCTAGCCACTGACTAACACACTGGCAGGAAATAGTACTTAAGGTGGAAATTCTCAAACTGACATTGCAGTCCTGCCATTGGTTGATTGGTTGACACATTCTTTCATTTTTTTTCAATATGTATTGAACATTGGTGTGTACCATGCATTAAGTAAATAAAACAAAAGTCCCTCCACTTGTGAAATTTATATTGTAAGAAAGAAACAGACAAAAAACTAAGGAACTAGGCAAAATATGATACATTTGGTGGTGGTAAGTTCTTTTTTTTTTTTTTTTTTTTGGTGGTGGTAAGTTCTAAGAGAATCTGCAGCTGGGTATATCACAGAAGGGGGAATTTCAGCTTAACATAGTGGTCAAGGATGGACTCATGGGAAAGGCAACATTTAAGCAAGGGCAGGAGAAAGGAGGAAGGGAGCTGACCATTGTCACTTGGAGGACATCCGGGGTCCCAGGAAGCTGGGGCAGAGGTGCGGGAGACCAGCAAGACATAGAACCCCATTCTTTGTGAACCAGGCAGGGATGAAAACTAGGTGACCACTACTAACTTGAAATTTCCTGTTTCTAGGGTTCAGATTCAGAGGCTGGATGGAGAAATGTGTTCTTGATTGCAGCTGCTATTGATATAGTGGGACTGATCTTCTACCTCATTTTTGCCAAAGCAGAAGTGCAAGACTGGGCAAAGGATCAGGCACTCACCCACCTCTGAGCCCATGGAGTGCTGTGTGAGGTCCCAACATTTGCTAGTTCCCTATTTTCCACACAGCCTTACCCTTTTGGGTCTGCTTGACTGATTTGCCATTTAATTGCAATTGGCTTTGTTTCCAGTGTCTTCTCAGAAACCTTGACTATCTAATATGGAAGGTTTTAGCAAGATTGGAATTTTTTTATAGGAGAAAAAAGGCTCATTATTTAATATGAGAAGTATATGCATATATGCATGAATTTCTCAATGTCTTCTATGCTTCTCACTGTTTTGCTGAAAAAAGCATCAAGTATAGGAGGACATTTTTCTCACTAAAGTGGAAGAGAAAGCAGGACCATGGCAGTGAGGCTGAGAATTACCAGGAAAGTGGGAACCAAACACCAGAAGATGAACCCAAGAGCTTCCATCAAAAGAAAGGCAGAGGCTATGGGAAGCAGTGTCCCCAACCTCAAGTCTGGGGCCAGGAGGCCCTGCTCCAAAGCTAAGTGGCTCTCACATGCCTGAGGAGGAGAATAGGGCACTGCAGGCTATGTGTGCTTCCCTGAACAGTGACAAGAAGGACAATAAAGAGTGAACCCACCAGGACAAGAGGAGTGAACTCTCCTCCAACTAATGCACGTGGGGCAGTTGACTTCACCTTTCCCAGACAACTCACCTAGCCAGGTGCTAGCTTTGGGCCAGTACCTTCCTTACCTGCACTGTGCAGCACTCCCCAGAGTTGGCTTTTCCAGTGATGGCTTCTTCCTGGCTATCTGACCTCTGCCCTACATCTACCTGGCGGACCCGTGCAGATGCATCAGTGAGTGAACTGTCCAGTTCTCTCTTGTCTCCATGAACCTTTCTTCAGGGGATCACTCTTGTCTCTGCTTCTCTGATTCTTGGGGTCTTTCCCACCATTCATGGGCCTCATTCAGTGTTCACTCCAGTAGCCTAAAATACCTCTGGAAATGTACACACTACTTGACCCCACTGCAAATGTCCAGAGAGTGCACAGCGTGCATCTGCTTTTGTTAAGGTCCACATGGGCAGCTGAGGGTCCATGAAGGAGAATGAAAATGTGAACATTAAATGAATATCACTGAATACATTTTTACTCCTAAGCGCATGGCAGAAAGAGAAATCATACATAGCTTGAAGAAGCTCAACATCTCAGGAGGAAAGACCCCTTTATTCAGAGTATCCTACCATGGGCTGTGTAATGACAGCTGTGGAGAGCAGCAGAATGGGGTATGGCATGCTGGAGGAGCAGGCGCGCTAACTGGAGTGTGAGCAGGGCCACTGCTCTGAAGTGCAGTAACTGGTGCAGGAGGGGAAGAAGGTGAACGTTCTAGGAAGGAGGCACAGCAAAAGCAAAGGTTTGGTGGCAGAAAAGAGCAACCACGAGCGTCCAGAGAGCAGAGAATTAGAGAAGCAGGGCTTGTGAGAAGTTGTAGAAGTGTTAAAGTCAAAATCACACAAGGGACCATGTGCCCAGTGAAGGAAAGGTCATAAACAGGGTTTTGTTTTTCATAAGTTACTCTCAGGGACTGGGATGGAGTAAGGGGATGCAGTACAGCGCAGAAAAGCGTGATGGCCACTGGCATGAGGGGCAGGATGCAGTGCGGGGGGAGCGAGCTACTTGTTTTCGGAGTCAAACCTGACAAGGCTCTAATACTGAGAGCAGAAGACACCTAGAGTGAGACTTGGGTTTTGTTTGCTGCTCGGTCCATGGGTGTCCCTCTCAGGAAGTTAGCAGCCACACCCTAGTGAAGATCATAAGAAGGAAAATGGCCACATGAGTCTGGACTTTACTTGTGAGCTCTGGATTCCAGTGATAAATTTAGGAATCATCTAGATGGAGATTGCGATGAACATTTTTAGTATGAGTGAGATTGTCTAAGGGAGAAAATGGCATAAAGAAGCAAAGCCTGAAAGTTTGAGAACGAGTTTTCAAGGACTCTAGTATTTAATGGTGAGCTGGAGGGATATTGGAGAAGGAAGGAAGAAAGGAAGGAAAGAAGAAAGGAAGAAATAAGGAAGGAAAGGAGGGTGGGAGGAAGGGAGGGAGAAAGGGAAGGAAGGAGGGAAACGTAGAAGGAAAAGTAAGAGAGCATGATATTAAGATAGGGAAAGAAAGCGAGAATGTGTTTCCAAAAGGAGCGCATACTCACTGCTGTTGAGTCTGCACATCAGGCCAGATGAGCCGTGAGTAGAAAACAGAAAGCAGAGCGCTGCTGGGAAGTCTAGGTGTGGAGGCCGAAAAGAGATGAGAAAGTAGCTGCAGAAGGGCACCGGATAAGGAAGAGTTTCAACATGCATGTTTCAGACTGATGAAGGGAATGAGTGGTGGCAGAAAGCTGCATGTGGAGAAGAACAAAGCCTAAATGAATGGGAAGTTCCCGAGAAGGACACAGGCAGGGCGCATTGGGACCTGAGGCCCAGTTAGGAGGGGGACGGCAGAGGGAATGGGGACAGCTTCTGCCTTTTCACCGACCATTCAAGGTCAGGTCCAGGTCCACCAGCAGACCGTCTTGCCTATTTCTGAGCAGTTATTCCCCTCTTTTCCTTCCCTGACTCTTATTCCTTTCTCATCTGTCACCTTCAGTTGCTTTTGCAAACAAGCTTGATTTCTCCCTACGCCTCCCAACGAGATTGGGATTAACATTTTTAGCATGAATGAGATTGTTTTTCCTCCAAATAAGCCATCCTGAAAGTACAGAAAGCTAAGATTTCCCACCAGTCTGCCCATCAGCAATGAGGGGGAGTGAAGGCTGAGCATTGGGGAAAAGGTCTTTCACGATGTGTTAGAATAAAATTTTAACATATGCTTGTTTATTGGGTTATTTAACAATCATTTATAAATAACTGATACAAAGAGGAAGGCAGACATAAATAAACCCATTTTTTTTTTAAACTGAGACCTGTAACATGTTTCAAACAACACGTGCTATAAAGAGAAGCAGATAGCCTGTGCAGTGAATGTGTATTGAACATTGGTGTGCACCACGCATTAAGTAAATAAAATAAAAGTCCCTCCACTTGTGAAGATGGAGATGGCCCCGGGATTCTCTGTTCCACCTTCTTCCTGGCACTGGTGACTGCCCTGCAGCCCGGCCTCCTGTGCAGGTCCCTTGTCCTTTCATTGAGGAGGTCACTCCCAGGCTCTCCAGGTGTTCCACTTTACAAAGAATTTTGCACAGAAAGAAAAGAAATGTATCAAAATGTCATTGGTGAGTCTTTATTGAAAGAGCATAGAAAGTATTTTTAACATTTCAAAGGGATGGTCTAGTCTATTCCTCTCAACTGTCTTTCTGCTCTGTGAGAGGTTACCCTAAGTGTTTTTTACTTTTTTTGACATAAAAATAAATATGACTGTCTGATGCAAGATTGTCATTCTTTCTTTATTCTCTGACTGCTGATCACAACTACAACCCTCTTCGGCTGGAAGTAGCCAGAATGGTCTTTGCCCCTTGCCCCCTCATGGCAGTTAGGAGTACTTCTTCAGCAGGGGCAATATTATAGATAGCTAAATTAGGTAGAAATATTGGAGGCAGTCAGACAGGGCTAGGCCCTTGAGAGGTCAATGCAGAAGAAAACTGTGGCTGGAGACGCATGCACTGAAGGCAGGCTTTAAGAAAAAGAACACTTACTCACCCATATAGTTCCCCTAAGGATGAACAGCAGTGGTTAATATTCTAAATAGGCATCAATCACCTTGGGGTGAGGACCAAATCTCCTTAATCCACCCTTTCCAGGAAAGTCCTAGTCTGCCCATGTGTGCTTGCTTCATGACTTGTTTCCCCATTTTATCCCCATTTAATCAGTAGTACCCAGGCACCTATACTTGTTGTATACTTATTGGTTAACCATAGTTTTTTCCCACCTCATGCCATCCTATGATTTACCATTGAATTGATACTAGCTAAGATTACTACATTTGTAATCTTATTGATTGGTTATAGTTCTGTCCCACCTTAAGCCTGCCTCACCTTGTGGCTTTGCTCAATAAAACACCTGTAAGAAGCAGGGTTGGTGGGCAACCCACTTTCCTGGCCCACTTCTGTCCCTCTCAGACAGAAACTTTCTTTCTCTCAATAAATTCTCCCTGCCCTTAAAAAAAAATTTACATGTTACAGACTTTTTGGGATATTCCCATGGAAATAGCTACTAACTGCCTAATACCTTTCTATAAACACTCAGATGTGTTTCTACATGTTAGTTGGGCATAGCATTCCTTTAATTTAGGTCATCATGATGAATTTTACTGAGGGAGGTGACCCACTGTTGAGAGAAAATTAGACACCTCTCACCCAAACTGACCTGGTTAAAGTGCACATAATCCATCAGAAGAAAGAAAGGCATCTCTTGTGTTCTCTCTTTTCTGAGGTGCCCTATATTCAGCAAAATCCATTACAGAAATGTATGGTGAATAATTCTTTAACAGCCCACACAGTAATTTTATACTGGAAACTGGTGTAGTGAGCAAGACACAACAGATGTAAAATTCCAAAGCGAAGTAGAAGGGTGCCTTCCAGACACTACCATTACCTGATGAAGAGCCAGTCATACAGCTCTCAAATAGAGCAGGGTACATAAGAGTGATGCTTAGGAGAGTGGGGATGGATAAAGGCTTTGTAAGAATTTTAAGTGTACATTTTCTTCTCAAGGCCAGGAAAGCCAAAGATGTCTGCTCTTCCCATTTCCATTCAACACTGTGCTACTGGTTCTAAGCAGGACAGTTAGATAAGAAAAAAGATAACATCCAGATTAGAAACAGAATTAAAGTAATCTGGATTCATGGGTGACAAAATCTTTTATATATAACCTCTAAGAATATTTAAAAGAGTTATTAGAACTAATAAGCAAGTTTAACAAAGCGGCAGAGCACAAGCTCGATATAAAAAATCAACTGTATTCATAAACACTTGTAGTAGGCAATCCAAATATTAGAACAAGAAAAATTCTACTAGCATAAAAACTAAATACTTATGAATAAATTCAGTAAAAGAAGTAAAAAACGTATACTCTGAAACTGTGCAATACTGTTGCAAAAAAGAATATGTCTTAGTTTCCTGAGGCTGCTATAACAAAATGTCATTACCTTACACCATTTATAAAAACTCAAAATGAAATACCTAAATATAAGAGCTAAAGTTTAGAAGAAAGCTTAGGAGTAAATCTTTGTGACTTTGAGTTTGGCAATGGTTTCTTTTTCTTTTTTTTTTTTTCAGATTCACTTATTTATTATATAAGCTTTTACCAGGTTAATTATCATAAACAAGGATTAACAGCCAGACTAACCAGCAAAAACATATAGACCACATAAAACAATTCTACTAAAAGGTATACTTTTAGATATTCTGGCCATGTTGGATTACAGTATCTTTTTTCCCTCTCTGGTCAAGGTTTCTTAGGTACATCAAATGGATATGAAATAAAATAAAGCATAAATAAATTGGATTCCATAAAAATTAAAAACTTGCCAAGCATGGTGGTACATGCCTATAATCCCAGCACTCGGGAGGCTGAGGCAGGAGGATCGCTGAGAGTTTGAGGCCAACCTGGGCTACAAAGTGAGTTCAAGGCCAGCCTCAACTGCATAGTGAGATCTTGTCTCAAAAGGACAAAAAATAAAAATAAAAAATAGTAAAAAATTAAAAATTTGTGTGCATTAAAGAAACACAGAGACAACTACAGAACAGAAGAAAGTATTTGCAAATCATGTATCTGATAAGGAGCTAGGGTATGCAATATGTAAAAAACTCCAGACTCAAAAACAAAAAGACAGCCTAAATAAAAATGTGCAAAAGCTCTAAATAGACATACTAACAGTGTCATTTTCTGAAGAGCTATGACATTTGATTTTGCATGTGCAAAACCCTAATCACTTATTTCCAATCACCTTTCTCTACACCTTAGACCACTCCCAATATCCAAACCCTGTCCTTGGAGAAATATGAGACTTAGGTCATTCCCTCCATATTTGATTGCCTTGAACATGACCTCTTTCTCTTTTGCAAAACTCATTGTTTCAGTGATTTGAACATTGTTTGGTAGGCAAAATAGGCCTGGTTCAGTTTGGTAATATAATAGAAATCTATAAATGAACTAAGAACACTAAAAAGAAACCATGAATAGTCTAGATTCTAGGCTAGAAGGAAGTATCTATGTGCTCACACTTTATTTTCATTCCAGCTTGGTATGGGCTCATATCTCTTGGATAACTGGGTTGACAAACCCAGTTTAAAAAGCCAACAGGAGATTAAACTACTATCATAGTTCCAAGTTTCTTCTCTGTCCTTGGGCCCTAGCACTGTGGTGTGTCAGGAAGAAGCCACAGGTTTCGGAAGTAACTGAGCTGACTTATAGGTACAACAATGAGGGACCCTTCCCTACTCCTACAAAGGTGTCCATGTAGCTTCCTGGAATGTCGGAGCTGTAGAGTCTATTTCTCTTTACCCAAACACTTACCTACATCTACTGATGGTAAAATCCATTTAGAGCAAGTACGATATCACATACAAACACTTAAGCTAATTTAAGAACATGAGATTATTATTTTATTTATATAATCTCTAATCAAGTTAAGATTTACATCTTCATTATATAAGCCACTGAAAAGCCTTACTCCAGCGCAAGAGATATTCTGACAACAACAGGATCCACAAGTTCTCATAGTGTTTCAGTAAAAGACAGTGGATTTCATCCTCCCACACAGCAACAGTGACATAGACAAGCACACAGCATGAAGTCGTATGCTGGGATCTGAATGATGTAGTTGCTGTTATTATGTCTCAAGACCTCAGAGTGCAGCAACTGCCAAGGCCAGCATTCAATTCATTGACTTCTATGTCAGTTGGCATCTCACAAGGATTTCACACCAGACAGATTTTGCTCCTTCCCAGCAAGAAGTTCAACCTTAGGCTTCCTGAGGGGCCCCTCCTCTGGTTTTCTTTCTATCTTTCTGACCATTGTCTTTTTTTGTTTTTTTTCTTTTTGTACCAGGAATTGAACTCAGGACCTTGCACTTGCCAGGCAAGTGCTGTGCCACTGAGCTGTATCCCTGGCCCATGGCCACTGTCTTGTTTTCTTTTGTTTATACCTCCTCTATCAGCTCTCTAAATGTTGGACTGTCCTAGGGCTCTGTAGCTGGGTCCTCCTCTTTGTGTGCAGACTTTTTCACTAGGTATCTCAACTACATGCTGATTTTCCCAAAACAATTATCTCCTACTTGGAGCTCTCAAATGTGTTCTAAACTTATATACTTACCTGTCTCCTAGATACTCTTATTGCAGGAAAAACCCAAGAGTGAAAGGAAAATGCTCCACACCAAGAAGGAGTTTGGAAGGCAACCTTCATGTAATGCTAGTGGGCTGATAGGAACTAGTTCTAAATCATCAGCCCCATCTTGGGGTTAAACAATCACTTATGTAGGCTGTTAGAAGGAAGTACAAAAGGCAGATAACAGGATATTCTACAATTGGCTACATATTGTTTTGTCATATATTGCTAGTCAGACTTATTCTAAGCAAGTTATTTAGGGGTTACTATTGTATAACAGAGAGGTCAGGGCTAGGGTGAGCAGGGAGAATCAATCATTGTCTAAGACTGAGCTGGGGTCCATCTCTAAATGAAAAGCCTCAAAACAAGCTAACAAGCTACATGACCTGATGAGTTACATTTATCCTACAAGCTGAAGTTAGTGCTATCACCAAGGCTAGCTGGGGTTTGTTACTTTCTAATTAGGGGAACTGGCTGGTTTGTTTTGGTCTGTCCTTCAATCTTATGTCCAATTATTAGTTTTAAAATTGCCCTTTCACTCTCATAAGACTTCCACTTAGCATCTTTAACTCAACATGTATAAAACCCCACTCCAGTCTCCCACCCTGACAAATTTTCCAGTCTCAGTAATGAACATCCTTTTCTTTTTTTCTGTTTTCACTTTTTTTTCACTAAAGCCAATATCTTGGTTCCATCCTTGATTTTCTCTGCCATACCTGCCCAGCTCTACCTCCAGGGGGCACTGGAATCTGGTTGCTCCTTTCTGTCTCCTCTGCCTGCATCTTAGCCTCTACCCTCCACATTTCTCACTTGAACTTTCAAAACAGCCTTTATCTTGGTCTCTGTGCCTCTACTCACCGCCATGGAGTCCTTTCTCTAAATGTGGCCAGAGTACCTTCATGAAACATTAATCAGGCAAATCACTTCCTTCTTCAAATGTATGCAATAGCTTTGATTGTAAAGAACTGAATTAAACCAAGCTCTTACCTTAACCTGCCAGCCCTACATGATCTGGAATGTAACCACTTCCAAATCTCTCTCCTTCCTCTCTTCTTTGCTCCCTCCCTTCCTCCCTCC